CAAATAAGCTGCACCTGAATTTCTGACTGACAGATGTCGTGTGAGATGCTTACTGTTGGGGTTTTTCTGCTTTTTCTCCCCAAATCCCCCCAGTACATAGTTGTATATTTTAGTTGTGGGTCCTTCCAGTTGTGGCATGTGGGACGTTGCCTCAGCATGGCCTGATGAGCGGTGTCACATCCCCGCCCAGGATCCGAACCAGTGAAACCCTGGGCCACCGAAGTGGAGAGTGCGAACTTAACCACTCAGCCATGGGGCCAGCCCCTACTGTTGTTTTAAGCACTAAGTTTGGAGTGATTTGTTATGCAGCAATAGATAACTAATACAGTAGTTCCTGAAGTTTCAGGAAGAGAAGATGTGATCAGAGGAGACAAGTCACAACAGACTATTATCATTTCCTCTTTTTGATAGGTCACTTAATGACTCTCATGAAGGTAGCAGCATTTTCTCTCTTTATTTGCTTGATGACACTGATCTCTAAAATTAGGCTATAATTTCGTTGTTTACTTTGGCCTCCCCCATCTTATTCATCCCTGTATCTCCAGTGCCTGGAACAATGCCTGGCACAATGTTTGAAAAGGTGAATGACTTAAAAATAGTATAACAAACTGGCCTTTTTGAACTGACACTCAAGTCAAGTCTCCAGGCTAAATGAGACTGAAAGAGCATTTTGCAAGACATGGGCTAAATTTTAACATGTCTTAAAGAACGAGGCTTAATCTGTAAAAGAGAAGGGGCGTTGGATCCATTCCTTATCTCTTATAACAGGAAAATCTCCAGATCAAGCCAAGATTGAAATATTAAAAAATAAAAACCTATAAAAATACCTAAAGAAACCATGGAAAAAACTTTAAGTATTGGAGAAGAGTTTTCAGAGTTTGTCATAATATCCAGAAGCCATAATGAAGAATATTTATTAATTCAACTATGCTAAAATGAAGTTTAAGCAGAAACAAATTCCTGCAAGTTCAAAGCATAAATAAAATCAAAGCCAAATAACAAACTGGAGGAAAAACTTATCACAAAGAACTAAATAAAGATATCACACAAATCATAAAAGGCGTCACCCACTAGAAAAGCAAGAAGATATTTACAGTCAATAGGAACAGTCAGTTAACAGTAAAGAAAATAGAAATGGGTCTTAAACGCATGAGACGCTCACCTTCATTCGTAACGGTAAAATTACCAGATTTGCAAAATAAAAACTTCATAACATCCTGTGTTATTAAGAGGGGGAAAAAATCAGCCATCTCATACATTGCTGGTAGGACTGTTGATAGAACTTTTTTTTTGAGGAAGATTAGCCCTGAGCTAACTACTGCCAATCCTCCTCTTTTTGCTGAGGAAGACTGGCCCTGAGCTAACATCCATGCCCATCTTCCTCTACTTTATATGTGGGACGCCAACCACAGCATAGCTTATTGCCAAGCGGTGCCATGTCTGCACCCGGGATCTGAACAGGCAAACCCTGGGCTGCCAAGCAGAATGTGTGAAGTTAACCACTGCACCACCAGGCCAGCCCAAAAAACTCATGACTTGTAAGTTGTGTCATCTTGAACAAATTACTTCTCTGTGCATCTTCCACCTATGAGGCAAGGAATATTGCCTCACAGGACTGCTGATTACATACATTTAAGCAAGATTACACGTTAAGTGCCTAGAACAGTACCTGGCAAGCACTCAAAAATGGTATTACCATGAAAATTCCAGTTAGAATTTTACGTATTTTACTTTACTTCTTATTTTTGTTGAAAAGCTAAATGAGAACATACTGTTCTTAAACGTGGTTCCACTTCCCCAAAGCCCTTATTTTTGAACTATTCTGTTAAAAATTTTTCCCTATTAATTCCGAATATAATTTCACAATCTAACATTTCTTCAGAAATCAAAATATAATGGTGTTCACCTCAAATGTTATAACCCAATGTTACCTCAGTAAAAAAATCATTTACGTATCTACATTTAAAAAAAATTATTTCTTTAGCAATTCTGTTAGACAAGCATCATAGGACTACTTTCGTGGTACAAAAAAGTTTCTCCCACCCTTCTGATTTAGTGGGTTATGGATCTCAAAACTCATTTGCTTGGGTCTTTGGAACAGAATCAGGGAATAATGGGAAAGCGATGGCCTTTGGACTGGATTCCTAACTCTGCAATTTACCAGCCACATGGCCTTGACCAAGTTTCCTCATCTCTTCTGAGTCAGTTTTCACATTGGTAAAACAGATGGAAATCTGTGCTTACAAGGTTATGACGTGCACAGCACATTATCTAGCTGTGCCTGGGACACAGTAGGAAACTGATGACCCACCTGCTTCTGTAAACAGAACTTTTAATTGTAATTCTTGTATCTAAATATGACAAAAATTAAGCCTTAGTATACCAAATGGGACTCACACATCCATACTACTTTACTGACAGGGACATGATCAAAAGTCGAGACCATTATTCCATGCTATTTACAACTTCATTTAGACTTCAATTCCACAGGATAAACATGGAACACGACTTTTAAAAGACGTGATCACAGACTACTTATAAGAAACTAAAACTAGAAAATAAATTTGACCAGGACAGAAATAGCTGGTAGATGATGTAGTCGAGTTTAGGGGTTGGTAATCAACTCTGGTGTAGGGTTGTCAGGGTTCAAATCTTAATTCTCCTGAGCTGCTAAAGCTAAATCAAGCTATTTATCCAGTTCTGCTACTCAGTTTCCTACTTGTTAAATTCAGTGAACTGTATACTAGATACCTAATTGCCAGACACTCTTAGGTACCACCCAGCCCCCATACCACAAAGGCAATCATCAAGTTTGAAATAATGTGTATCAGGTGCTCAGAATTTTGACAAAGTGGCAGATGCCATAAAGGATTAAGTTTTCAACAGCAGCATCTGAAGGTAGATGGCCCATGTCCAAATCCTCGCTTTGCCACTTTCTACTGAGTGACCTTGGTTATTACTTAAACCCTCTGTGCAAAAAGATGAGAATGATGGTACCTAGCTCACAGGGTTCATTAAAGATTAAACCAACTGATACATGCAAAGTACCTACAAGAGTAGCCAGTACAAGAAAATGCTCCTGAAAAGTTAGCTTTAATGACTATCACACAGTGCCTACCATGGGATATAGAAGATACTCAGCCAATGTTACCTAGCACACTTTGCCTTGGATTTTTTTGCCAAGTAAATTATGTAGTGGTAATATTAACTTTAAAAAAAATGTCAAGTTTTTCTAAGTACTAAAGAAACAAGACATATAAAAGACTAGATTCCATAAATGAAGAACTTCAATATAAGCTTAAGTATGAAGTTAAACTGTTGCTACTTGACTTTCTTAAAATATAACTAAGTGTAAATTGATGGCTTTGTATCAACATCAATTATCTATGTAATAAAGCCAAATTCAATGTGAAAATTAGAAACCTTGTTTCCCATAATTCTCTGGTTACGTGAATAAAGAAAAAAAGCATAAATTGGAAAACTCTAAAACCATCTTCAATCACTAAAGATTAACCATTCATTTATATATTTTTATTTGGAAATGTTTATATCAGTACAGTGAAATTAAATTTTAGAGACACTGGATGTCATTAGTTTGGGTATCATTAGTTTATTATAAAAGAGAGACATGGAAATTATTTACATGATGAAAGATTTCAGAACTTCAGTGGAATGGGCAGCTTCACGTGATGCCATTTCAATAGTGATTTCAGTCTACATACTTTCCAAGAATGTCACCATCTCTAAATAAGAAATAATCCTGCAAATAGAGAAACCATTAGTTAAGAAAATAGCAAATACTTAACTTTTAATAAAAATCCTTAAGTTTACACACCTTGTCATCTAGAACTACTTTGGTGCCTCCATATTCTGGGAGAAGAACTTTATCTCCAACCTTCACGCTAACTGGTTGAATCTCTCCACCCTTAAGAAAATAAAAAGGTTTATTAGTAAAGACATCTAGTTCATCAAATATTCACACCTAACTTTTATTACTCGAATATGCTCAAATCAAATGTTAACAAAGAACTTGGTGGCCAAGTGATGTAATTTATACAATTGTAGTTCTTCACTGAAAAACATCACTGTAGAGTCACACATGAAATAACGCACACATAATGGCTTAAACTAAAACCTGATTTCAGTGTAAAAGTTCAAGGAGTTATACTGGTAAAACGAACTTAAGCTAACTTTTAAATTGTTAAATATTAACATAACCTATGGACTATGTGAAACAAACAAGTTTTAAAAACTGTATACATAATGGTCGTGGCTAACTTCCTTCAACATATGAAAATTCAACAGAAGCATTCAGAATTCAGAACATGCACTTCTTTCGTGATTCAATTTCCTTTCCTCCAAAGAATAGATTTGGGGAGGAGACTGAAGCAAAGTGCCCATTCTCCAAACCCTTCCTATTCCTAACTCCAGGATAGTTCCTTGCTAGAACTAACTTTCTTAGGCGCAACTAGACAATGCAATTAACATATCTGACCCTAAGGGCACTTAATATGTAGTCCGGCTGACACTTTTAGAGGTCTGAGGTCTAACCAGTTAATTGGAGAATGCCTACAGGGATAATCCAAACTGCCTTTCATAGGTATCCGAACTAAGGCCGAAAGTGGTTAAAGGATTAGGGCAATTTCAGTGTTTTAGAGGTTAGACTGAGTGTTCAAATTTCCCCTCAATTCTTAAAAGCACCCACAGATTACATTTAAGCATAGTCTTTTAATCAAAAATTTAGAATTTGAAAAAAAACGTAGTCATACTAGGCTACCAAATGGCTACTGACTTTAATATTCTGTAACTCTGCATCATATAAAATAAGCAATTTTATTTTACAATCATTTCCATCAAAGAGAAAGATTAGATGTTACGGAACTAGGGAATGACCCTGAACATAACGCAAGCTATTTTAAAGGCTATTTTTAATAATAACCAGTGATTGCTTTTTCCCCTCCGCTTCATCCAAGAATAGGTGCATTTTAGCTTCCATTTACCTTTCCTTTAGAGCCTGCTCCAACAGCTACTACTGTTGCTTGCAATACTTTCCCTTGAGATTTTTCTGGAAGCATAATGCCTCCTTTGGTTACAGTTTCGGCCGCGCTCCTTTCAACCAATACTCGGTCAAAGAGGGGAAGAAACTTTCTAAATGCCTGTCCTGCCTGTAGGGAGAGAAATGTTGAGATGTGACACGAAAACAACATGTACTTGTCTTCTAAACAGGCAATGCAATCGTACGCGTTCTGTATCACACGTCACACGGGACTTTCAAAGATAATGTCCAGCCTCGTATTATTCATTCCGGAACCCCATCTGAAGGGTCTGCTCTACACCCCGAGTTTAATTTCGCATTCCCTATGTGTGTTGGGGCGGGGGAGGGTCCTTGCTGCTCCTCTGGTCAGCAGGCAGACCACCTTTAAGGGTAACCTCAAGTTTATTCCAAGGTCAAATATTACCCTTCCTCGGGTTTTTCTAGAAATTTTCGGTAAACACTGAAGTCAATCCCTGCGCCTGGGGCCATGCCTTCTCCGAGACACCGCACACCCGCGAGGGCCCCGCAGGAGCAGCGGGTCGGCCGCCGCGTGCGCGTCCGGCTCCCCGGCCCCGGCCCCCTCCCCGGCCCCGGCCCCGGGCCCCACGCCTGCAGCACGCGCGCGTGCACAGAGCCCTCGGCGCGGGACAGGCTCGGCGGGCATCGCCTCTCCGGGGCTCCGCGGGCGCCGGTCACTCGGTGACCCCTACCGCCCCTGCGAGGCCCAGAGAGCGCCGTCCGGACTCCCCGAGCGCCGCAGGCCGATCCGGGCGCGCCGGCCTCACCATGACTCCGGCCGCCGCAGTCCGCGCTCTTCTCTCCCGCCGCCGCCGCCACCGCCAGCAGAGACCCGCAGACCGGCCCTCGGGCCACGTGAACCGAGGAAAAGGCCGCCCGTCGCGCAGGCGCGCTCGCCCCCGCCCCGCCCCTCCCGCGCGAGGGGGCGGCCGCAGCAGCGCGCGCCGCGATTCGCCGCGAGGGCCCTGCGCAGGCCCCTGACGCGAGGTCCGCGAGGCGGAAGGAAAAAGGAGCCCTTTCTAGGCTTTTCTAGGCCGCTCGCCGAGGTGAAAATACCAGCCCTTCGCCCTCCTCCCGGAAATGACGCGGGTTAACCCTTGACCCACAGGGAGCGCGGCGCCCCCCGGAAAGTTCTGGAATCGAGCGCAGCCCGGGAACCAGCCTACGCCGGCCGGAGAGGCCGAGCCCGCGGGCCGGGCCGGGCGCTGGTAGGGAGGGCGGGGCTGGCGCGCGGCGCATGCAGATTGCCGGGCCGGCGGCCGGGGAGGGCGGGAGCCGTCTGCACACGCGGTGCCGCGGGGCGGGGGAGTGGCGGAGGGAGGGGACACGGGCTCATTGCCGTGTGCGCCCTGCACTCTGTCCCTCACTCGCCGCCGACGGCCTGCCTCGCCTTCTGCACGCCCCGCCACCGCCGCGCAGGTACGCGGCCGCCCCGCGCCGCCTCGCCCAGGGCCGCGGACCCCGGAGCCGGCGTCCCCCGCTGCCGTCCTGCGAGAGCCAGGGCCTCCCCCGGCGCCGCAGCCCCGGGCCCGCTGGCAGGCCCGGCGGGTCCATGCGCGCGGGCCCGTCACGTGCCGCGTGGCTCGCTCGCCCCGGCAGGGCGCAGGAGGGAGGGCTTGCCCGGGAGTGCGTGTGAGTCGGGGCAGTGTTCACAGGGGCCCTCCCGTGCGCCCCGCTCCTGCACTGCAGGGCGCCGGGGAGGGTGGTCGCAGCCGCGTGGAAGCCGCCTTTCGTCCCCCGGACCGCTGGGGTCCGGCGCCTCCACCCTTGACCTTGCTTGGGGCGTCCTGATGGAAAGGCACGTGGGGCCGCGCCGAGTGGGCCAGGCCGCCGCCCCCCGCGTCGCGGCCTTGCGGGCTGTTCTGATACTGTAGCCCCGAGAGGATACATGAAGGCACATCTTACTAAGCGGAATTCTGCGTCGTCAGGCATATTTGTTCTCCCTTGGCCTCCCGGGTTTATAGCCTTCCCCTTTCCTGCGGGCTTATTTGGGGGTGCATTTGGAGTGGGTTCGCTCTCAAGGCCCCTTGAGCAGTGAAAGATTAACTCGTGTCTAGCGGCAGGGGTAGGTGGCCATGGGGAAGAAGATGGGCCTGCGTTGTGCGGGTGCTGTAGGTCAGGCGTGGGGGCGGCCTCTTGATCTTGAGGCTTGCACTGATAGCTGGTGGTGTGAAGCTGTGGCGCGTTCCGGGGCCCAGGTGTGGCTGGCAGAGGTCAGCACGGCTCATATCGAACATTTTTTATTCTGTTGCACACGTGTCATATTTGTGCTGTAACGCGCCACGGGTAGTGCTAGTATTGTCCTGATCTGCTTGTTTTCCCCCCCAGAAATGCTTCGATTACCTGCAGTCCTTCGCCGGGTTAGGCCAGTGTCCAGCGCACTGGCTCCTCATCTCACTCGGGCTTACGCCAAAGATGTAAAATTTGGTGCAGATGCCCGAGCCTTAATGCTCCAAGGTGTAGACCTTTTAGCCGATGCTGTAGCCGTTACTATGGGGCCAAAGGTAAGAGTATTATTTTGTTGTAATTTATAATATTATTAAGGATTGATAGTTTGCTGTTGACAAATAGTTACGCTCAACTGTTGAACAGTACTTCGGCATCCATTTTTGAGAGAAATCAGTTTACATTTGAGAGTTCCAAATTATTGGGTGTTTTTTTTTGGCTTGGATATATAATGGTCTTAAACAGTCCCTGCCAAGTTTTCGAAACTTTATTTTGTACAATGTGTGATGTAATCGAGTGGTAACTCCTAGCTCAGGGTGGATTCTGAAACTCAATGTAGAATTACTCTTGCCTGCCTGCTTGAGTTAGGTTTTGGATTCTTTCCCAGTTGTTAGTACCAAGCGTAGAGGGAAGAGTGTAAGTTAGCTCCCATAATACCTCAAGTATGTGCTTGTAGGTGCTAGTTTCACCTAATGTTTTTCTGTTCCGTCTGTTCCAAAGCACATTTCAAATGTTAAGTCTCATTTAACTCGAAGAGATTGGTGAGTGAGGGGTTACAATTTGAGGAGGCTTTTGAAGGTGGTGAACAATTGAAGACAGCTCAGGTTGAAGACAATTCAAATACCAAAGTAATCCAAACTGTGTAAGTTAATGCATTTGCATGACTCACAGGTAGCAGCTTTGGATCAAATCCAAAAGCTGCCAGTACTATTTGCACCATGTTGGAGATTTAATGTTGAACTGTTTTGGAAGAGTGGGCTGTATTTGCTTTGCAGTTAGTATTTTAGTAACTTAATTTTTAACCTTAAAAGTAAATTTCCACATTACTTTCAAAGTTAGCAGGCACCGGACAAAACTTAAGTATAAATTATGTGAAGAATATTCTGGAATTTCATTATAATCTACCAAATTGTTGGTTTATCTCGCATTCTTGTTTTATAAGATGACATCTCTTAGTCTCTAGGATTTTTATCTCCCATAATACCTCATTCAGAGTTAATCAGTTGGCAACAGAGAAGTCATTTTATCTCTAAGAACACTGATGAACACGCCCTTGAGATTCATGCTGCCGATTTGATAAAAATGACAACTTGCATTGAGGCTTTTAAGTAGTTGCCCCATTACAGTCACGTGCCACTTAATTGGGATACATTCTGAGAAATTGGGCAATTTTGTCATTGTGTGAGCATCCTAAAATGTTCTTAGACAAACCTTCATGGTATGGCCTACTAGACACCTAGGCTATATGATATTAATCTCATGGGACCATAGTCATATATGTGATCTGTCGTTAACCGAGATGTGGTTATGTGGCGCGTGGCTATAAAAACTGCTTGTTCTGGTTTAAGCTAAATAGTAGTTAAAGTGTGATTCTGTCACATTTTTTTTCTCTCCACAATTATAGGGAAGAACAGTGATTATTGAACAGAGTTGGGGAAGTCCCAAAGTAACCAAAGATGGTGTGACTGTTGCAAAGTCCATTGACTTAAAAGATAAATATAAAAATATTGGCGCTAAACTTGTTCAAGATGTCGCCAATAACACAAATGAAGAGGCTGGGGATGGTACTACTACTGCTACTGTCTTGGCACGCTCTATTGCCAAGGAAGGCTTCGAGAAGATTAGCAAAGGTGCTAATCCAGTGGAAATCAGGAGAGGTAGGAATGTCTTTCCATTGTTACCACAGTGTTTTGAACTATTAAGTTATACCAGAAAATTGATTCCCTCTTATTTCTCCTCTCGTAAAAAATCTTAGACTGAGTTTTTCTTTAGCAAATAGTGATTGAATGCTTGGCCTTGTGGTGGGCGCTGTACTAGCTGTTACGGAGGGAGATGTGACTAAGACATTTCCTGTATTCTGTCTGTCCTGTGTGTCACCCCCCGAAAGCGAAGTTCATTGGAGTATACCTATGTACTATGTACCTTGAAAATAGTAAACTTGTGGGGATTAGAGCAGAGAGATATTTATAGTTTTGATGTTTTACTTTATTTGGAAAGTAGGGCTGAACAAGGAACTAAGTCACCCAGGTGTCAGAAAGGTTTTGGGGTTTTTTTAGCAGCTTTTTCTTTTAACAGCATGTACTATGTTACTGATCTCCATTTTATTGTTGCTTGTTTTGGTGACGTATGCACCACAATTTAAAGATCTCAGCATGAGGTTCCTGGTGATATAGACTCAAGTCTTGTCATTTATTTAGCTGTGTACTAGCACTTGGTTTTCCTATCTTGAAAATGGAATTGCTCTATATTTCTTGGGTATGTTATTTTCCAAACTAGGAGACTTGGGGGATGCTGTTAATTTTGTTGGAATTGGCATCCTAGGCCATACTGATATATCATCCTGTCCATTTCAACATTTGAGGTCCAAATGAATGTGTTGCATTAACAGTTAGACTGTAAGTCACTAACAAGTATTCACTGAGGTTACTAAGAATACTTCCCAGGGGCCGGCCCGGTGGTGCAGCAGTGAAGTTCGCATGTTCTTCTTGGAGGCCTGGGGTTCGTGGGTTTGGATCCTGGGTCCGGACATGGCACCGCTTGGCATGCCATGCTGTGGTAGGCGTCCCACATATGAAGTAGAAGAAGATGGGCACGGATGTTAGCTTAGGGCCAGTCTTCCTCAGCAAAAAAGAGGAGGACTGGCAGTAGTTAGCTCAGGGCTAATCTTCCTCAAAAAAAAAGAGAATAGTTCCCAAAGAAAGTCATTGTTACTCTACACCTTGCTTTGGATTTTTTCTTGAAGTAACATTTCTCAAAATAAGGGAAGAGCTAGTTCTAGTCTCAGTTGAACAAAATGGGGTTCTCATAAATCTGTATTGGGGTGCTGTTGACTGTTGAAACAAAAATATTTTGTTAGTTCATAATTGCATATTAAATGAGGAAATTTCAGATAATTAAAACCTGCAGGGGCATAGCCACAAGAAATTTCTCATCCTTGAGAATTATACCTCCTGTTGAAAGTAAAGGACTGTAATTTATTTTGGACCTTTTTTGTGTCACTCAGTTGAGGGGAGAATTGTTGGGTGACCCTCTTGGAAACAAGCAACATGATTGGGTTGGCAATGACTGACACAGAATGAGTTGAATGGTGACATTCTTGAAGTTGTACATCGAGAGTTTTTATAGTCTAATTTTCACAATAATTTTGTCATTGTGGGAGTTCATTTATTTATCAAAATTCCTGTTTCAGTGCATGCCATCCAACTCAATGTGATTAGGAAAAGTACTGGCGCAAAAGCAGTGTGTAGGCTAAGTCAGTAAAACATCTAACATGAATCATAATTTTTACTTGACATGGAGCCGTGAAAGAATATGCGTTGTGATGGCATTTGTTCTTGAACCAGGTGTGATGTTGGCTGTTGATGCTGTAATTGCTGAACTTAAGAAGCAGTCTAAACCTGTGACAACCCCTGAGGAAATTGCTCAGGTGAGGATCTTCCACATTTTCTGATAAAATTTAACAAAATTTTAGTAACGTG